CGAACGTGTAGAACGCCACGAAACTGAACCAGAGCCAAGGCTGAAGGTGTAACCCTGTGACGACCGCTGAGTAGCCTGGTCGTCAACCCAAGAAGCGTCTGAGTGCCCAGTGAGGACAACTGGGCTCGTCCCTCCAAGCACTAGCCCCATGCCTGATGTGCTGCACAAGTAGCGCAGTACCCTCTTAGCAGCAGCCATGTGCTCAGGTCGGTGCCGACCAGGAGCCACGTAGCGAGCCAGAAGGCCAAGAGGGTACGCGAGGTCAGGTCGAGTGCAAGTCATCAGGTACATGAGGCAGCCAACTAGCTCTGGGTAAGGACCACTCGGCTCTACGGACTCGTCCGAAGGTGGAGCTGAGAGCGTGTGACCTGTAGCCAGAGGAGTGGCCTGTGCTGAAGACCAGGTGAAGCCGAAGCGCTGAAGGACCTGCTGCACCATGTGTGACTGAGTCAAGGTGATGGTGCGGCGTGCTCTGTCCCGGGTGATCTGCAAGCCAAGGTAGCTGCGCAGCTCACCCAGGTCTGTGCACGTGTGTCTCTTCTGCAGCTCCGACTTCACCTGAGCGAGAGCCAAGGAAGACACAGGGAATAGCGCGGGCGGAGAGCTTGTCCGCGGTGGTATCGCGGACAAAGGCACGAGCACCCCAGACCCGGAAACGCGACGCATCGCCAACCTTCCCCGTCCACAGCAGTGTGGGCGAGGTCTCTGGCAAGGAGACACGGGGCCAGAGGTTGAGCTGATGCGCGGCGTACCGGACAGCAAACGGCCACAGAAAATGGGGGGCAGCCGCATGGATCATGGAGGTACGAGCGACCTCCATGACTAAGCCAATGCGGCGCTCAGCAACCCCATTCTGCTGCGGAGAGGCCGGAAGCGTGAACGACTGGGTGATGCCGCGCTCCGCACAGTAGGCTGCCAAGAGGTCGGAGGAGAACTCACCACCTCTGTCAGAGTGCAGACGCAGGACAGGAAAGTCCGACCGGAACCGCTCGCGGAGCTGGAGACGAACTGCGCGGATCCAGGGGATCAAAACAGCAGGGACATCCGCCTTGCTCCGCAAGGGGAAGACCGTGGTGTAACGCGTGTAGTCGTCGACAACCAGCAGGAAGTACCGCTCGTGGCCCTGTCCCTGGACGCAGGCTGGGCCCCACACGTCCAGGTGGAGCATCTGCAGTGGAGCCTCTGTGGGGGGAAACGAGGAGTGAGGAGCGGCGCGCTGCCGCCCCTCGACGCAAGGAATGCAGGGCGGCGCAGGCGAGGGAGGGAGGGCAGGCAGAGACCTGGGAAGACCAGAGACCAGGGAGCGAGAGTGCATGCTACGCAGGCGAGGCAAGGAGGGGTGACCAAGGCGGTGGTGCCACAGGAGAGTGTCGTGCGACAAAGCGCGACACTCGCAGGGGGCCGCCAGCTGACCAGACGTAGACGCAGACGCAGCTACCTGAGGGGACTCAGTGGTCAGTGTGTACAGACTCGAGCCAGGTGCACGGGTGAACGTGGCCAAGTGCCGGCCCGTCCTAGCACACGTACAGTGAGTCACTCGCTGACTCGCAGGAGTGAACTGGTCAACCCCCCCATCCTGGAGGTCAGCTCCACTCACCAGGTTCGTAGAGAACGAGGGGAGGTAAAGACCTGACAGCGAGCCGGACGGGGCGGCCGGACACGGCAGAACCGTGGAGTAGTGGGCAAGGACTGGACCCCCGGAGGGGTCCGCCAGGGAGACTGGAACTGGCCGACTAAGCGGCGTGAGTGTGGTGCAGTCGCGAAAGAAGGAGCGAGAAGCTCCTGAGTCAAGGGTGAAGGTGTGCGAGACCGCAGTGGGCGCAGTACCAGAGAGAGCAGACTCACCAGCACCTGAAGCCACGGCCTCACCAGTACCTAGAGCAGTAGACGTACTAGCACCGAGAGCAGCAGCCTCACCAGCACCTAGAGCAGGAGACGCACTAGCACCTAGAGCAGCAGCCTCACCAGGGTCAGGCGGTACGCACAGGTAACAGGCACGGTCAGCACTAGTAGGCAATGCATACATAGCAGTGAGAATAGCATCATAGTCAAGCGCAAAGATATCTACCCTCTGTCCATGCAGCTCCAGCCAGGTGGGGAGCTCAGCCTCGTCGCCAAACACTGTGCGCCAGTCGTCGCTCAGACGGGCGAAGCAGCGGGACTGTGTGTGACCAAGCGTCCCACAAGGCTGACCAGTCCTAGCACCTGTGCGAATGACGTACGAGCAGCGAACTGTACGCGTAGACCTGCTACACTGAGCGTACCACTCCTGGAGCTGCCGGGGCGTAAGTGTCTCGCGTGGACGCCCCTGCAGCTGCAGCTGGCCACTGCCAGACGCTCCCAACTGACCAGCTCCAGGGCGACAGCTACGACGGCTACCGCGACAACCCCAGCTAGTATACCACTCACTAAGCTGCTGGGGCGTGAGAGGCTCGCGTGAACGTCGCTGGAGCTGCATCTGGCCACCTGCCAGTAGCAGTAGCAGCAGCAGTAGCGCGGGCAGGGCAGGCGCGGCAGGCAGGCAGGCAAGCAGGCAGGCAGGCAGGCCGGCAGGCAGGCAGGCAGCCAGGCAGGCAGGCAGGCAGGCAGACAGGCAGGCAGGCAGGCAGGCAGGCAGACAGACAGGCAGGCCGGCAGGCAGGCAGGCAGGCCGGCAGGCAGGCAGGCAGGCAGGCAGGCAGGCCGGCAGGCAGGCAGGCAGGCAGGCAGGCAGACAGGCAGGCCGTCAGGCAGGCAGGCAGGCGCTCACCAAAGGCTGGGAGAGCAGGCGCTCACCGGGCGAGCAGGGCCGGCGCTCGACGGGCGGCGGCCGAGTAGGCGCACGACAGCGGCGACGTCGGGGCCGCAACACCGGCTGCAGAGCAGGGCCGAAGCAGCTGCAGGGCGGGGCCGCTTCAGCGGCAGTAGCAGGGTGGGGCCGCGTCAGCGGCAGGTCGGGGCCGTGGCAGCTGCAGGGCGGGGCCGCATCAGCGGCAGGTCGGGGCCGTGGCAGCTGCAGGGCGGGGCCGCATCAGCGGCAGGTCGGGGTCGTGGCAGCTGCAGGGCGGGGCCGCATCAGCGGCAGGTCGGGGCCGAGGCAGAGGGCCGCGCGCGGCTCGGCGCGGGCTGCGCTGACAGCGCGCTGAGCTGCTGCAGGCCGCGCGCGGCCGCGCTAGGCAGTAGCGGGCCGCGCGCGGCTCGGCGCGGGCTGTAGTGGGCCGTGCATGGCTCGGCGCGGGCTGTAGCGGGCCGCGCGCGGGCCGCGCGAGGCAGTAGCAGGCCGCGCGCGGCTCGGCGCGGGCTGCTGCGGGCCGCGCGCGGGCCTCGCAAGGCTGAGCAGGCCGCGCGCGGCTCGACGCGGGCTGCGTGGGCTCGGCGCGGGCTGCGCGCGGCAGCTGCGGGCTGCGCGCGGCTCGGTGCGGGCTGCGCGCGGCTCGGCGCGGGCTGCGCGCGGCTCGGCGCGGGCTGCGCGGGCTCGGCTGCAGTGGGCTGCGCGCGGCTCGGCGCGGGCTGCGTGGGCTCGGTGCGGGCTGCGCGCGGCTGCAGCAGGCTGCGCGGCTCGGTGCGGGCTGCGCGGGCTCGGTGCGGGCAGCGCGCGGCAGCAGCGTGCTTAATGGTCTGCAGGGGCTGTTTGCGGGCCTGACGGGCGTGTAGGGGCGGCGCGCGGGCCTTACGGGCCTCTAGGGGCGGCGCGCGGGCCTTACGGGCCTCTAGGGGCGGCGCGCGGGCCTTACGGGCCTCTAGGGGCAGCGCGCTGGCCTAGGGCAGCAGGAGGCAGCGCTAGGGCTGCTGGACGGCGCGCATAGTGCAGCACGTCACAAGGCAAGGCAAGGCAGGCAGGTACGTGGGGTAGCGCGGTAACCGCAGCGGTAGGTGGGCCCGAAAAAAAAACGGTCCTACGGACCTTAGTGCTCTGAAACCATGTTAGAATCTAGCAGCAGGAATGAATGAACTAGCAGGATGCAGGAGTACAAGTAGTAAACCCTAATTGGGTTGTACCCCATATGGGCTACCCCACTACAGCCTATACAATATGCAGCACATATAGTTTGACAATGTATATTTAGGCCCCGAAACCCAGGAGATTTTTCGTACAGAACATCTCGCTTCAGGGCGAGATTCGACACTATCCTGAGTCGTCAGGGCTGAACCTACAGCGTTATCCTGAGTTTCCAGTACGCAAAATAACCATTATACTGATCTTACAGGACAAGTAATTTCCTTATGCTGAGCACACGACACCTATCCTGAATCCAGGAGAATCAGGATAATTTATCATGATAACATAGGCCCTGGTCGGTTGTTACCCGGTTATGTCCTTAGGGCCACGCGTCAACTGGTTCAGCTTACCATACCGCCCCAAGCCAGATCCGAGTCACCCTCGCACCAATCACCTCCCTTCCGAGCCTGATTTGCCCGACTTCCCTGCCTAGCTAGGATACGGTATCCTGGATGCCCTCTATATTTAACCAACACTTTTCGTTGTATCGACATCCACACTCTTGATATTCATTCACTTGGACACTCAGGAAGTTCACTCATAACAGCGTATAAGCAGGCGCTATTTGTGAAAATAAAGGGCTTTTCTGCGAGCACTGTCGTTTTGGGATCGTTGGCAGTGATGGCGGCCGGCCAGGCTGCACCGATTGTGTCGTCGCTTCCTGGCGAGTTGCATTGCAAATCGTTACAGCAATGCAGGCAGGGAGCGACAGCCATGGGCTTGCGGCCGTGGGGAAAGCCTCACGCTCGGACGCACCAGGGACTCATCCCCTCAGTGTCGATTTCGTTCATAGTGGCCCCGAATCGAACACACTGTGACTCTGCGATGCTGCTGGGGGCATGTGAGGCGACAAGTCCGCTCGCTCGCCGCTGTCCTGCGATGCTCGCTACGGTAGTGCCGCCCCGCCCGCATTGATCAACGCAAACTTTCGCCAATCGAAACTCGGAAATTGAACACCTTCGGAAAGTGCGGAAACCCTAATTAGGCGAGCGCCACCTGAGTGGACGTTACCGAGGCAATTATGGGTTCTCTCTATACTCCGCCAGCTTGCGTGGCTTTCGTTACAGTCACCTTCGCATCACCTTTTACTCGATCCGCTGCTCGAGCCGCAACGAGCGGATATGAGTTCCGCGTTGTCCGCGCTGTGCTGTCGCGCCAGGAGCCGAGGGAAAGCTCGGTGCGCGTAGAGCCTCCGCGCGCGCGCGTTCCTCCGCTCATCGCGCGTGGGGCTCCGCGCGCGCCTTACCCCGCCAGGCGTGTTACGCAGCCGCCCCGCGGCCCGCGCTCGCAGCCCGCGAGAGCCGCGCTGCAGGCGGGGTCGACCTCTACTAGTAGCGCGGGGAGCGAAGGCAGTGTGACTGTAACGGGCGGCGCGGAGGAGCAGCTGAGCGCGTCGGCGGCGGTGCGGACGTTGGGAGCGGCGGAATCGGAGCAGTCGGAGCGGTTCGAGTGGAGCCGCGCGTGGTACGCGGTGGGCGTGGCGGCGGACATGGACGCGAGTCGCCCGCACGCGCTCACAGTGGTGGGCCGCCCCCTCGTGCTCTGGCGGGACGCCTCTCTCTCCTGGCGCTGCTTCCTCGACCAGTGCCCGCACCGCTTAGTTCCACTCTCCGAGGTAATCACTCACTTCACTGCCCCCACCACCTCGTGCCGCTCTCCAAGGTAATTACTGCCCCCACCGCAGAGCCTGCCTCTCTTCGCAGTACCCACTGCCTGACCTGACCTGCACCGGGTAGTGCAGCCTCCTTCTTTCCGAGGCATTGTGTAGTTCTACGTAGCCGGTCTCTCACTTGTCACTTTGAGGTACCCACTACCTCCACCGCACTGCGTAGTGCCTCCCTCCGAGCTTAGCCGACGCATCCGTCTCCCTCAGTGTAGCTTACCATTGCCTGTGCCGCGTGTGTCGTTATCGAAAGCATGAGCACGCATCTCGTTAGGTACTAAGGACGTTATTCTTAGGACCAGGAGGATGAGATAGAAAGCAGTGCGTGCATGCCATTCTCCTCATGGGCATCCCATCCCGGTATGAATCAATGTCAGCTCGCGTTAAAGCACCTTGTGTGCCCACGCAAGGAACGAGAGGCACCTTCGCGCTCACGCAAGAGCATCGAAACATCTTCTTGCCCATCCCCTCACCACCCCCTTTTCCCTCTGCTCCCGCCCCCTTTTCTACTCCCCTATCCACCTCTCCTGCCATCCCCGTTCTCCCTCCACTCCAGGGCCGCATAGACGCAGAGGGGCGGCTAGCATGTTCGTACCACGGGTGGGCGTTTGCAGGCAGTGGTGCGTGCCAGCTCATCCCCCAGGCCGCCCCGGAGCTCCCCGGCCAGCCACCCCGCGCCCTCGCCTCCCCCCGCGCCTGCGCCACTGCCTTCCCCGTGAAGGAGATGCATGTGAGTGAAAGAGATGCATGTGAGTGAAAGAGATGCATGTGAGTGAAAGAGATGCATGTGAGTGAAAGAGATGCATGTGAGTGAAAGAGATGCATGTGAGTGAAAGAGATGCATGTGAGTGAAGGAGATGCATGTGAGTGAAAGAGATGCGTGTGAGTGAAGGAGATGCATGTGAGTGAAAGAGATGCGTGTGAGTGAAAGAGATGCATGTGAGTGAGGGGAGCTGAGGTGCGAGTGAGGGCAACAGGGGTGTACGTGAGGGTAGGAGTCATGTTTTGAGTGCAGGAGAGTGGGAGAAGAAGCAATGTGCGCTCCGCCCCATCCCCCTCCCCATCCCCCTCCCCATCCCCCGCCCCGTCCCCCGCCCCATGCCCTACCCCACTTCCACCCCACCCTTTGCCCCATCCCTAACTCGTCCCTATCCCATCTCCTAAACTAAAACATCCCGTTCGCATCCCCCACCCATCTGTCCAGGGAGTGCTGTTCGTGTGGCCCGATAAGCACTCAGCACACCAGGCTGAGTCAACCCCTCTCCCCCTCCCAAACGGAGTAGACTTTAACGAGTACACAGTGTTCCCCGCGTACTCGCGCGTGCTGCCGTACGGGTTTGAGTTCCTGGGGGAGAACCTGGCGGACCCGTCGCACTTCCCCTTCGCGCACCATGGAGTGGGGACGACCACGAGGGAGCAGGGCGGGCCCATGAAGGCGATTGCTGTCGCTGAGTCGGTGCGTGCCATGCAGGGGGTTTGGGTGGTGGGATGGAGTGAGGTAGGGTGAGACGGACCTGTGTGTAGCACTTCCCCTTACCACGGCGTGGGCACGACCACGCGGGGCGGGAGCAGGGCGGCCCCATGAAGGAGATTGCCGTCGCTGCGTCGGTGCGTGCCGTGCAGGGGGTTCGGTGGTGGGTGGATGGTGGGATGGAGTAAGGTGGGGTGAGACAGACCTGTCCATCACACTTCCCCTTCGCGCACCACGGCGTGGTCACGACCACGACGGAGCAGGGCGGCCCCATGAAGGCGATTGCTGTTGTTGAGTCGGTGCGTGGTGCAGGCAGGGGGGGGGGAGGGGAGGGTGCGAGGGTGAGAGGGAAGGGACGGGAGGAGAAGGGAGGGAAAGGAGAGGGGAGTAGAAAGAGGGGAGGGAAGTGATGTAAAGGGAGGAAGAGAGAGGAGGGAGAATCGTAAACTGAATGCTTGTATGAAACTTAGGATGTGTTGCTGCATGGATATGCTATGTCCTTCCTGGAACTACCTTCTCATCTGCCTAAGTGGTTTGGTTCTTGCACACCTGCACATCCCACCCACCGATACACATCACATCGCATCACATCATTACACCACACCGCACCGCACCACACCACACCCCACAGGGCGCAGCTGGCTTCCACGGCCCGTTCCACATGGAGAGCTCCGAGCTGCCCTCCGACTTCGCCTTCCAAGCGCCTCAGCTCGTCGTCTACACCTACTACCTCAAGTAATCACCATGGGGGTCTACTTACTCAGTTGTTGCTCAGGTGCTACCTCAGGTGTTGCTACTCAGTTCGCCCCTTAGCTCGTCGTCTACACCTACTACCTCAAGTAGTCATCATGGGGTCTACTCAGGTCTTGCTTGGACGTTGCTCGGGTTCCTCTCAGGTGTTACTCAGGAGCTACCCAGTGAGACCTTCACTATTTCCACTCTACAGTCCGCAAGCACCTTCCAACCCGCAATGGTGGTCTCTGGAAGGCAGGAATGCAGGGCATAAAACATTCTCTCTGCCCCCGTTCTCCCTTGCCTTCCATCCGCACCCTTCCCGGTCTTGCCTATGCTTTTTTGCTTTTTTGAATCATTTCTCATGCAAACTCCTTTTATAGAAAGCCTGCTGCGCCACCTCCCAGCGTGCACTGCCTCCCCCACCCTCCTGACCGTGCATGACTGACGGACCCACCAGCACCATCACCACCCTGCAGCCTCCCCGCCGTCTCAACTGCCCCATGCCTGTGCCTGCCCTCCCCTCCGCCCCCTACCTGTGCCTGCCCTCCCCTCCGCCCCATTCCTCTTCCCCCTCCCCAACAGGCAGCAGCAACCAAAGTTCGCGCTCTTCAAGAGCAAGGACGCAGCAGCAGCGCCACCGAACGCGTTCAAGCTGTGTCTGTACATGACGCCTAGCGGGCCGGGCAGCAGCACCATCACCACTCTGCACTCGCCAACTGCTCTGGCCTCTCCCTGTGCCTGCCCTCCCCTCCGCCCCATTCCTCTTCCCCCTCCCCAACAGGCAGCAGCAACCAAAGTTCGCGCTCTTCAAGAGCAAGGACGCAGCAGCAGCGCCACCGAACGCGTTCAAGCTGTGTCTGTACATGACGCCTAGCGGGCCGGGCAGCAGCACCATCACCACTCTGCACTCGCCAACTGCTCTGGCCTCTCCCTGTGCCTGCCCTCTCTCCCTCCGCCTACTCCCGTTCCCTCTCCCCCCACCAGGCAGCAGCAGCCGAAGTTCCCCTTCTTCAAGAGCAAGGCGGAGGCAGCAGCAGCACCTCCAAACGCGTTCAAGCTGTGTCTATACATGACGCCCAGTGCACCCGGCAGCAGCATCGTGGTGAGCCTGCAGATGCTGAGGCGCGGCGACGGCAAGAAGATGGGCTTCCCCCTGCCGCCCTGGTCTGTGCACCTCCGCCAGCACCAGATCTACGATGGTGCGTTGGGGGGGAGGAGGAGATGAGGGTGCGTTGTGGGGGGGGGATAATGATGGTGCAGGGCTGTTGGTGGGGTTGAGTCTTGAAACGACTCAACAGCGTGCCGCCCTGGTCCGTGCACCTCCGCCAGCACCAGATCTACGATGGTGCGTTGGGGTGGGGGGGGGGGAGGGGGGGTTGTGGTGATGGGGACTGTGATGGGTTGTTTGGTGAAAAGCTGGTGGGGTGATGGTGGGGTGATTGTGGGGTGATGGTGGGGTGATGGTGGGGTGATGGTGGGGTGATGGTGGGGTGATGGTGGGGTGATGGTGGGGTGATGGTGGGGTGATGGTGGGGTGAAGGTGGTCTTCACTAGTGAACCTTACTTCATCCTCCTCCCCATCGTCCACTTCCTTTTTTCTCTGTTCTCCAAAATCTGGTGTATTTTAATTCTCCCCTTTTGCTCCCCTCCCATTCCCCCCTGGTTTCACATTTCTCTTTGCTCTATAAATTCGCGATGCTCTTTGTTTCTCATTCTTTAGATTATTTCATTGTTCATACGCCTCTGTGATGCCTGTTTTTGCACTGTGACATGGCACATCGCATAGCGCCAGCGACGGTTGCACGGGACTAAGCAATGGCTCCATCGCCCCTTGTCTCCCACACTGAACGACTTCCCGTGTCCGCGCCCCATGCCTGCCACCAGGCGATGCCTATTTCCTGCACTGCCAGGAGCGAACCTTGCAGCACCGGGAGCAGCAGCAGCAGCAGCAGCAGCAGCAGCAGCAGGGCGCGCAAGGAGAGAGCAAGGAAGGGGAGTCAGAGCAAGGAGCAGGGAGCGGGAGGGGCAGCGGGTGGAGGGCGTTTTACATGCCCACTTCCTCGGACCTCTTTGTCGTTGCCTTCAGGCAGTGGCTCGCCAAGTATGCCGGTGTGTGCCCTCGCCCTTCACATTATTCGCTGTGCCCATGCCCATGCCCATGCCCATGCCCATGCCCACGCCCATGCCCATGCCCATGCCCATGCCCATGCCCATGCCTATGCCCGTGCCCATGTCCATACACGCACCATCGTTTTTGCCCTGTGATAGACTGGATCTGGTGGTACGGGCTTAAGGATGGGCTTCATAGTCCTCTGTTGATTTGTGCATTTGATGACTGTTGTGCACCCTCTGCTCTCCCTCTCACGACCCCCCCCGCCTGCTCCACCTGTCGCTGCCGCAACCAGGTGGAGCCGTGGCATACCCGCCTGCCTTCTCAGGCGTGTCCCTGCCCCCCCAGCCGGCACCCAAGGAGGTGGTGTTGGACCGAATGGCCTCCCACACGGCACACTGCACCTCCTGCTCCTCCGCCCTCGCCACCCTGCAGCGCGCGCACCTGCTGCTGCCCGCTCTCTCCCTGCTTGCCGCTGCTGCTGCTGCCGCCTCCACCTCCCTGCGTGCTCGTGTGCCTCTTGCTCTGCTCGCCGTGGCAGCTGCTTTGGCTGCCTGGAAGGCGCAGGAATTTGCCAAGGAGTTTGAGTATACTGGGTGGGACCATGCGAGAAAGGACTGATACCAACTCTGGCATACCGGTAGAACAAGAAATCATGTGTGATAGAAGGAAAACATCAGCATTACATTACGCAGTCGTGTTAATAGAAATTATATTTTAAAAAGTGTACCGTCATACCCCGGATATACCCCCATGGGGGGCAATAATAAAACAGGATTTCCAGGTGGGTGGGCTTATAATCGGGTAAATTTATAAGCGCCGGCGTTTATAAAACGACATATATAGTATATACATTTTTTAACACCAAGCTGTAGATCTCGTGCTTGCCTTTTCAATCGAGTCGAAGTTACATGGGGTCGTCTGTGAAATTCTCGCGCGCACTGGGAGATACACCAAATCTGACAGCTCCTGACAGCTTCTGACAGCTCCTGCTGACTGGACCCGCATCCAGTGCAGGGTCCGAATGTGAAGGGAACCGAATCTGGAGACATCCGCCTGCTAAAGTAAAATTCGTTACAGGGATTTGAACACATTTCAAGAATTAAAGTTTACGTGCGCTTATAATAAAACAGGTTTTTTTCAGGGGGTGCGCTTATAATCTAGCAGCGGATATAAGCGCCATGCGCCAATTAAAAGCGCCAGGCGCTTATCCGAGGGTGGCGCTTATATCCGGGGTATGACGGTAACATTCTAAAATTTTGTGTTCTGAAAAGGGGGACGTGGCCAACACAGCAATGGTAGCGTCGAAGTAGTGAGGTTTGTCTTAGGGGGTACAAATGTTAGGGTTTGCTATACCGTATAGTTCCGACTAGAAGACCCGCCGGTAAGAAGGTCCCCCTGGACTCTTATTGTGGCAGATATTGTGAGGACCCCCCCTTGGCCTCTAATCATCGTAAGACCCCCCTTTTATATCTAGTGTAGTTGTTATTCCTATTGTGAGTCAGTTTTTACTGGCAAATTTTCAAATTCTGACATTCATTTTGTGTCAGACTCGGATTCTGACACTTTGATTGTGTCAGATTTGAATTCTGACAGATTTCTGACACGCCGCTCGCGCGAAATTTGCACGCGAAGGCTGTTTTTCGTTACGAATATAAGACCCCCCCCTTCCCCTATTTGAACTGTACACCCTAAATCACAGATTGATATATGATAAATAAGTGTACCCCGGGTTTTAAAAATTTGCAACCGCCATGATGTCCACCCTAGCATTTTTTTCAAGCAATTCTAGAGACTCCCCCGGGTCTTCTAGCCGGAACTATACGGTATGTACCCCAACCCTCATTAATAACACAACACTTTCATTCTTGACATGGTATCACCTAGGTTGGGATCTTGTGGGATCTTGCACCTCTCGTCCTCGTTCGTTCCGCCCGAGCCTTGTTAAAATAGGAGCTAGAATCATGAGCCATAGCTAGGTAAACCCTAGCTAGGCAAGAGAGAAACAAGCAAAGGAGGGGTTGCACTAGCAAGAATGGGGATACAAATAGCAAACCCTAGAAGGGTTGTACTCGCTATAGAGCACCCCACTACAGGCTAGAGCATAATATTCTGACACACCCCCATAGCCAAAGTGGGGTGTAATCAGCAGAGCAAGCAAAGCAGTACAAGCTCAGGGTGGATCACAATGTCACCACACATTCTGAGCACAAGTTCAAGAAGCAATAGTTTAAAGTTCACAATTATGAGCAAAGCTAGAGGTAGTCACAGAGGGCAAGCGAGGAGGAGGAGGGCTGGCGAGGGGAGAGAGGAGTGGAGGCGACGACTGAAGCTGCAGACACACGGGCAACAGACGGCTCTGGTGCAGCTCTAGTGGCTACCGGGAGCAAGGGCCCCGGAATACAGGAGTAACAGGCTCTGCGTCTGATCAGCAGCGACAGGAGCAACGGACCCACGGGCGACAGGTGCAACCGGCTCTCTGAGCTACCGGTGGCTATCAGAACCCCGGAATACAGGCGCTGCAGACGACACGACGGCTGCCTCCACCCAACCTCCTCCAACTGTCCCACACCCCCCAACACACACCCCCTGCTGCAACCCCTAACTCCACTCCCACGTCACCCCCCTAGCACCACTCCTTCGGCTCCCCACACACCCACCCCCCTCAGCGGCAGCTGCAGCAGTGGGAGACGGAGGAGGAGGAGGAGCAGGGGACGGCTCACACTCACGGCACCCCCATACCCTCCACCCCCAAACCCTAACACAGGAACGCGGGCAGTAGCGGGGGTGGGGCGCCGGCAGAAGCTCGGGGGACGGACGAGGCGCGCGCACGGGCCTGCCGCAGGCCGGACGAGGCGCGCGCGGGCTGCCCGGGCCGCGCGCGGGCCTGGCGCAGCCCGTACGGGCCGCGCGCGGGCCTGGCGCAGGCCGTACGGGCCGCGCGCGGGCTGTACGGGCCGCGCGCGGGCCTGGCGCAGCCCGTACGAGCAGCGCGCGGGCCTGGCGCAGCCCGTACGGGCCGCGCGCGGGTCCCAAGGGCGCTTCGACGGGCGACGGGGGCGTTTCGACGGGCGACGGGGGGCGCTCCGACGGGCGACGGGGGCGCTTCGACGGGCGACGGGGGGGAGCGCTTCGACGGGCGACGGGGGGCGCTTCGACGGTGGGAAACCGCCGCGCGCCTCGGGGCGCACGGCGGGCAGAAAACCGCCGCGCGCCCCGAGCGCGCGGCGGGAAGAAAAAACGAACATCGCGCGCCACGGGACGCGCGACACACAGGAAGGCAGCGGAAGCAGGCGGGCCCACAGGCCAGGAGCGTAACCGCTCTGATAGCATGTCAGAAGTAGTAGGAGAAAGTTTAGAAGCAGAAAGAGGGTTTGGACTAGCAGCAGTTGAGATACAAATAGCAAACCCTAGATTGGGCTGTACTCGCTATAGAGTACCCCACTGCAGGCTAGACAAATACAACATTCTGACACACCCCCATAGCCAAAGTGGGGTGTAATCAGCACAACAAGCAGTCATAATAGTAGTTCACATTTTATGAGCAAAGCTAGAGGCAGTCACAGAGGGCAAGTGAGGAGGAGGAGGGCTGGCGAGAGGAGAGAAGAGTGGAGGCGACGACTGAAGCTGCAGACACACGGGCAACAGACGGCTCTGGTGCAGCTCTAGTGGCTACCGGGAGCAAGGGCCCCGGAATACAGGAGTAACAGGCTCTGCGTCTGATCAGCAGCGACAGGAGCAACGGACCCACGGGCGACAGGTGCAACCGGCTCTCTGAGCTACCGGTGGCTATCAGAACCCCGGAATACAGGCGCTGCAGACGACACGACGGCGGCCTCCGCTCAACCTCCCCCAACAGTCCCACACCCCTCGACACACACCCCCTGCTTCGCCCCTAGCTCCACTCCCCTTTCACCCCCCTAGTACCACTCCGTCGGCTCCCCACACACCCACCCCCCTGAGCGGCAGCTGCAGCAGCGGGAGACGGAGGAGGAGGAGAAGGAGGGGACGGGGCACACAACCGGCACCCCCACACCCGCCACCCCCAAACCCTAACACAGGAACGCGGGCAGTAGCGGGGGTGGGGCGCCGACAGAAGCTTGGGGGACGGACGAGGCGCGCGCACGGGTCTGCCGCAGGCGGGACGAGGCGCGCGCGGGCTGCCCGGGCCGCGCGCGGGCCTGGCGCAGCCCGTACGGGCCGCGCGCGGGTCCCAGGGGCGCTTCGACGGGCGACGGGGACGTTTCGACGGGCGACGGGGGGCGCTCCGACGGGCGACGGGGGCGCTTCGACGGGCGACGGGGGGGGGGGGGCGCTTCGACGGGCGACGGGGGGCACTTCGACGGTGGGAAACCGCCGCGCGCCTCGGGGCGCACGGCGGGCAGAAAACCGCCGCGCGCCCCGAGCGCGCGGCGGGAAGAAAAAACGAACATCGCGCGCCACGGGACGCGCGACACACAGGAAGGCAGCGGAAGCAGGCGGGCCCACAGGCCAGGAGCGTAACCGCTCTGATAGCATGTCAAAATAGTAGGCACAAGTAGGAGCCATAGCTAGGTAAACCCTAGCTAGGCAAGAGAGAAACAAGCAAAGGAGGGGTTGCACTAGCAAGAATGGGGATACAAATAGCAAACCCTAGAAGGGTTGTACTCGCTATAGAGCACCCCACTACAGGCTAGAGCATAATATTCTGACAAGCCTGTCTCGCTCTCTCGTTCTAGTCATACCGGTCTTGCCCGAGCCTAGCGCCGGCACGATCCAGTCTCGCTCGTTCGTTAGCGCCGGCCCGATCCAGTCTCGCTCGTTTGTTAGCGCCGGCCCAATCCAGTCTCGCTCGTTCGTTAGCGCCGGACCGATCCAGTCTCGCTCGTTCGTTAGCGCTCGCTCCGCCGACCCGCTTTCCGCATAGCGTAGCGCCTTCCCCCCCTGCCCGTCGTGTCGCACTCTCCCCGGCTTCCCGTCCCGTCACGCCCTCCCCCACTACTCGTCGCGACGTACCCTCCCACCCTGCCCGTCGCGTCGCGTCCTCCCCCCGCTACCCTAAACGCCCGCTCGTCGTCGTCGCAGCGCCCCGTTTTTCGTCGCCGCGGCGCCTCGCGTTTCGTCGCCGCGCCTGCCCGTACCGCCCACCGCCGCGCCTGCTCGTTAGGCCTGGCCGCGAGCCCGCTCGTCTGGGGGTGCTACGTCTAGGGGTGCGGGTGCGCCCCCTTCGGGTCCTTGTGAGCCTGGCCGTGTTGCTGTTGGTGGTACTGCCTCTGGGGGTGGTGCGCTAGGTGCTTTGGAGGGTGGTCCTGGGGCTGCCGCGGCCCCGGACACTACTCCTCCCCCCCACCCCTACCCGACCCGGCACCAGGCTCGTGTTCGCCGTGCCCGTGAGGAGAGAGAGGAGAGAGAGTTGCAGCGACTGGAGGAGGAGCAGCAACAGCAACAGCCGCAGTTGGAGCTGCCACAGCAGCAGGAGGAGGAGCAGCAGCAGCAGCAGCAGGAGCCGCCGTAGCAGCAGGAGGAGCAGCAGCAGCAGCAGCAGGAGCAGCAGCAGCAGCCTCCTTCTCCTCCTGCCTCTGGTCTTCGGACCCTCGGTCTCCCCTCTCGCTCTCCTTCCTCCTCCCCCTCTCCTCCCGTCT